TGGACGGACGCCCGCTGGCCAACTGGAGACAGGCAGTGTGGAATTCTTGGAAAAGAGCCCGCAGCAGGCCCAGCTGCTGGAGTCCAGCATGCCTGTCCCACCTTCCATGTCGAGCGGCGCAGCAGCCGACCATGGAATGCACGGCGTCCGTACTGGGGCCGACGTTGCAGAAGCCGAGGCGGCACTGAAGCTGCTGAATCAGGGCAACGAGCGCTTTGCTGTAGGCGCGCCCACGGCAGCGACCACCTCCACGCACATGCGAGGCCTTGGTGAAGTGCGGCCAGGCGCCCCACAGCGCCATCCTCGGCTGTGCGGACTCGCGAGTGCCCGTCAACACCGTTTTTGACGCGATGCGCGGAGACCTCTTCGTGCTCCGCAACGCCGGCAACACCTGCACTCACGCAGCTCGGTGATCCAGGTAGCTGTTAGACTGGGCATGATGTAGTTTCAGAAGTAAGCACGGGGGAGTTAGGGCAAATTTCCCATCGTTGCTGAGGCAGAAGGGAGCATTGTTGGCAGCTTGGAGTTCTGCACTGGCAAGCTGGGCGCCCAGCTGGTCCTGGTGCTGGGGCACACGCAGTGCGGCGCCGTGGCCGGAGCTACGAAGACTTACCAGGCAGGTGAGTCCAAGGCTCTGGGCAGTGCGTTCGCGGGTCTCTTGCAGGGCTTGGCGGGGGTGGCACAGCAGGCCAGCGAGGACCTGGGGTCGGGGCCAAGGAGGCCAAGCTCATCGCTCACGCTGTGAAGGTGAACGTCTTCCACTCCATGAACTTCCTCCTGAAATTCTCTGAACCCCTGCGGTGCGCAAAGGGAACCTGCAGATCCAGGGCGGCTATCACCTCGAGACGGGCCGAGTGGAGTTCTTGGGCTGCTCGCCGCAGCAAGCCGAGCTGCTGTCCTAAGCGCTCCGTGCCGCCGTCCATCCAGTGCGGCACGATCAGAGCGAGCCAGTGATGCCACAGGATGCCCTGGCCATGCTGAAGGATGGCAACGAGCGCTTTGCAGTGGGTGCCCCCACAGCTGGCAAGGTCCACCAGAGCATGCGCGCGGATTTGAACAACATGGGCCAGGCTCCCCACACTGCTCTGGTTGGCTGTGCGGATTCGCGCGTGCCCCTGGAAACCGTCTTTGATGCCTTTCCTGGGGCGGTGCCATCAAGGGTGCCACCAAGGCCTACCTGGACTCCAAGAAATCGAAATCCAGCGGGACCAAGGACTGCAGTTTTCTGAGCATAGCACACATGGGGAAGCACAACAGATCTGTTGTTGTGGAGCGTGTTGGGTGTGTTGAGCGTTGCTCCGTTGCGTGCCTTTCCGCAGGACGGCCATGCGTTGG